CCGGAAGTACCACTACCAGCTAAATGACGGTCTTAGGTTTGTGCAGAATCTGCTGAACCTGAATTAAACAGAACTCTCTGATGTGCAGATGAATTTATTAATAAACCCACAGACACAACATCATCCACATTAAGTAAACTCAATATTCCCCAATATTTCATACCTAAGAGGAAATAAAAGCATATAAAATGTGATAGTGCAGTCATTGTTCACTTTTCCTGTATTGTACATCAGCTGAACTTATCTCGTAATTATGAGATAATGTCATAATTATGAGATCAGGAGTCAAATTTTATTTATTTGGTGAATGCAGAGCTCTTCCGTAGACCTCTGTCATAGGCCAAATTTATATAGTTTCTACCGTATATCGTTTATATCGTGCATTCCTAACTATTATAGTTACTTCACAGGGTTGGTTTATTACTGTTAGCTGTTACCAACCTCTGAGAAATGGATTGAGATTTGTCCAGCCTTTACTCTAAGACCTGACCAGTTTGAGTTTCCCACCTGATGACAACATTCATGTTGGTGTAGCTCTGAAGGCTGAACAGTCGGCACATGGTWATGTGGTTGTTCTGTGTTTGTTTTTGCACAGACCTTTCATAGTCCCTGAGACACACTGATGTGGTTCACGTCACATGGGGATCCTTTCCACTGGAGTCTACGCTCCAGAAAAAAGAACAAAACTGATCCTGCTGTCATTTGTACATAAATCTGTSCAGGTYAAGCTCTGCACTTCTCTGCAGACTGATTCCTTTGTGCAAAATGTATTTTTTAACCTTCACTTATGAGTTTTTGGCTGTTTGAATATGTCTCTAAATGTCTGCCTCTGGGTTCAACTGTTGGCTTCTGAGAGCGAGTGTTAGAAGCAAAACACAACCTCCAAGTTCTTTCAGCACAAACAAACACAACCATGAACTTCTGCCCAATCACACAGTAAGTTCTTATGTGGAGGGGGGGGGGGGTCAAGTGTTCTCCTGGTGTGTTGTGAGAAGAAGGGGCTGTAGATCCGAAGCTGCAAACAGGATAACATGATTTTCATCATGCAGCTGCGACAATGAGAGCTGATTTCAGCAGTTTGGATGGAGCATGCAGACACCTTGTACCCCCCCTGACCACAGGTGCCAACCCCTCAGTGGGGTAACAGGAAATCAAAATAAATGTTAAAAATATCATTCATCCAGGTTTTAACAACTAACAACATAATGAAAATATATTGGGTATAACTTATGATCTAAACTTGACCTGAGGTCAATCGGTAATAATGATGTTATTCCAATCATTTCAAGACGTTTTTAGTTAATTGAATAAGTATGACTTGCATTTACTGATGATTGAGCTCATTGTTTTCAGCCATTTTTGACCTGAAAGCTCAGAGTTTCTTTTATGAAAGGAAGAAAACTAGTTTATTGTTACGTTAAGTTGAAGTTCGTTTTAGAGGGGTGCTAGTTTCTAGATAAGATTTAGTCTTATAATGTAACGTTCTGTGATTGTACACACTAAAAGAAATTAGCTTAATTAGCTCCAGCTTTTATAAGAACATATATAAACTCTTTATACGAATGTATAAATTATGTTTTGAAAGATATTTTCTGGTGTTTATTTGCAGGTCTGTTGTCTTGGCATCCGGTGTGCATGTCTCTTGGTGTAAGTTTGTAGTATCAGTCACCACACACACACACACACACACACACACACACACACACACACACACACGCACGCACACACATCCTTATATTGGCATCAAACTGAGGACATTGTATGGACTTCCATTCATTTTTGTAACTGTATTTATGCCTAACGCAGACATTTTCCCTAAAATTAACCTTTACTGGTCTATAGTTAGCTCTAACCTGAACCAGAACTTAATTCACTCCAAACCTCTAAACCTAACTAGTAAAGCACAGCAGAGCTGCAAACAAAGTGAGGAGGAAAATGTCCCGTTTCCAAAAATGACCTCACTTTTTTAGATAAAAACCTAACATGGTTCTCACTCTGTAGCCAAAACAAGTGTACACACACACACACACACACACACACACACACACACACACGCACGCACACACATCCTTATATTGGCATCAAACTGAGGACATTGTATGGACTTCCATT